AATTTCATGCATGATTCAGTAGGTCATTCACAAGAAATAGCACCAACGGATAGAAACATTATTCCAACAATCTATCAATTAGCAAAACTATATATGTGATTCATTTCAAGCTTGAACTAGAACTAATTATCACTTAGTAAACTTATCATTATGTGATCATTTAAAAAGTTTTTAAATTATGCTTTAACATCTAACATTCATTCATTATTCTTAAAAAGAATTGTGAAAAAGTTTTCATAAGTTTATAAGTTTTTAACTGTAATTTCATTTACTATTTAAGAAAGTTTTTTGTGAAAGTTTATTTCATTCTTTAGAAATCTTAAAAAGATATTTTTAAAGTGTTTGTAACAACTTGCTGAATTGTAGTAAGGTTTGTTGGTTGATTCAAGATAAGTTAAATTTTGTGAGTTGTACTGTGGTGGCAAGCACCCATTGAAACTTGTGAATTTAATTGAAAATCTCAAGTGTGATCTTAAAGACTAAACATAAGCCAAGGTTGAGGTTGAACCAGTATAAATGTTGTGTATTTCATCATCTTCCTTCTTATCAAAGTATTTCACTCGTTTAAAGTTTTTAAGTATCACCCAATTTATCCCCCCTTTTGGGTGCCAACCTATCCTAACATATATTACTTTGTTTAGTGAGTTCCTTTTAAGAAAATTTCTAAGCCATTTTAAGAGTTCTTGGAAATCAATTCTGGAGAAAATTTTGATGAAAATAATCTTTTCCCAAAAATATTTTCTAGATATAGGTACATATATTTTTCAGTCTTAATAGTTAACTTGTTGACTCCTAATTAAAATGATAATATATGATAATCTTTATATCTAATGATAGTGAAATTTAGATTTGACTAAATAATTATGATCAATATATAAAGAATGAAATATTTGAAATCATTTTAATTATTGAAAATATCAATACTATAATATTGATTGATTGTACATGCTAAAAAAAAATAGCAAGAGTTTTAAGGTATTTATAGAAAATTATGATGTTAGAACTACTTGTGTTTTGTTTCTTAGAGAACTTAATTTGAAAAAAATGTCTTTGAATAATATGTAAATAAGAGGATTATAATCCTTTATTTTGAAATAAATGGTGTTATTGTTTATGTATATTAAGTTGTACAAAATTGATGGTGTCTTGCACAGATTTCTCATACCTATGAAGCAAAATTCATTTGTGATATGTTATTCACATAAGTTTCAAATAAGTTATTAAGAATTTTTATCATATTGGATGTCATGTTAATACTATAACTAGAAGTTTATAATGATTAACAAGCATGTCTTAGTAAACTAATAGTTTATTGTTACTTTGGTTTAGAATGCTAGAAATACATTGATATTATTTGGCATGACCGGTTAGATCATCTCAGATAAATATTGATGCAAGAATTATTGAGAATTCTCAATGACATCTATGCTACTTAATTAAGATTCTTCCTAAATAACTAACACATTACATGCTTCAAAAATTTTCATGTGCTGCTTAAGAAAAATTATGATGCTATTACTAGAAATAATTGAGATTGGATCCCAAATATTTATGAAAAATATTAGGGTGAAATGGGTGCATGTAGATACCATGTGAATCATGCAAATATTTAATGAGATGGATAGATGCAGCTATATCATGGTTATACCTATGTATTAATTCACAATTAGAAATTTGTAAAAGAGAAAGAACTATTATGTACACAATTGTTAATATAGTGATCAAGATAAATCACTCAAAAATGCTACTAATTTTATATCTCAAGCTCAAATTATGAGATGAAGAAAAGTCTACTTATTAGAATGGTTTATTAAAGATTATTTATGCCTCAAATAAGATGATTAGACTAAAATTTTGTGACAACAAGATTTTTCATTTAAATATGCAAGTTTGCAATTGCAGTACTTAAATGCATCAAGTTAATAAAGTATTATGAATGCCCCCTACTATAATTTGGTTTTCTGTCAAGAGGAAAAGATTGAGATTTTGTGATGAAAGCTCCACCACTATGTATGAAATATACTTTCAAAAGGAAGTTGAGAATAATATCAAAGTCTTTTGGTAAAGTTAGGAATAATGCCAAAATTGTTATGGTTTAGTGGAATTTAATAAAGTTGAGATGTGTGGCACAATTCATTGATTCAATTTGCACTACAAGTGTTTAGCTTGTGAACATACAATAAGGTTAGGAATAAATATTAGTTAAGATTCTTCTTCTTTTTGTTTGTTTCTTAATGAAATGAAATGACATTTTTATAAGAAACAAATGGATTTAAAAGGCTTGTACTGCTGGTTTATAATCCCAAAAAGAGGGGGAAATAATGAAAAGCCAGAAATAAAAATACATGAATGCATTATTAATATGTTGTATAGATTCTCGTATATAAATTAAAAGTTTATATAACGTTTCATTTATGAAATAAAATAATTGCAAGATATGTAAATGTTGATAGAAAGAAGAAATTTTGAATTTATGCTTAAGCTAATAATGCTTCAAAGGTATAAATAAAAATAAATCGTGCCTGAAGTGTGGAAGACTAATCGGTTGTGAAGAAATAAAATCTTAAAGAAAGAAAAAAGGAGTAGATAAGTAAGATGGTCATATTAAGAAGTTGTCATTCTAAAAGAAGCTAAGACATAACTGACTTTAAGTTACTAGAAGAGTATCAGGTACTTGATAATAATAAACAATATTTAAAAGTTATGTCAATGTGAGAAATGATGAAATCGAAAAGATAAGTGTTGTTGACAACATTTTCAATGAAAATGAAATATTACCATCAAATGAGGATCTTTATAGAATTAGAATAGAAAGATGATAAGATTAAAAAAAAAAGGATGCAATACAAGTAGAATTACATTCACTTATTTATGACATGAAAGTTGTGAACTTATAGTTCAAGCACTTGAAGTGCAATATTATATATAAGTATTTATGTGAAAGAAAAATATGAAATGTCACAAACAAAGCTTGGCTTTTAATATAATAATATCTTACAAGGATTTAAAATATGCATTAATATATTTTGTGGTGGATGAAATGATTTTTGATATGTTATTAATCTAGCAATATAGAAATCTTATATGCATAAACTAAATGATAGCTTACTTATATGGCTCCCTATACAGTGGCATTTACTCGAAAATCTGAAAAAGATTCAAGATGACAAAAACTTACAAAGCTTATTGAGAAACTTTCTCATTCATTTTATTTGTTCGTATGATTATATATACATTGATTTGCATTAGAATTGATTGATTGAGCATTATTGAATGTTCTGAAGAGTTTCTATGAACACTTGATTGTTAGATAAATATGTTAAAATATTAGGTGATTAGATATGAATCAAGATCATTTTTCTTTAAAGGGATAATGAAATATGGTCCCAAAGCACCACATATGAGTGCTTTCATATCACAATTTAAGATATTGCATTGATTTGCAATGAAGTTATGTACTTTATATAATATGCTTGAGGAATTATTATGTGCGGTTGATTTACTAAACTTATTTAGGATCAAAATTAATTGATTGTCTATGTGTTATATATGTCTAGTTTGAACTATACTAGTTAACTTTCAAGAGATTATTCATTTATGAAAATACAAGTATATTATGATTATTTTTCTACTCCCACAAGATATACCACAAGTGAAAAATGTGTTCCTATCTAAAAGAGAAGATGTTTCAAGATATTATACGAAGGCAATGATTTATATATAGTCCAGCTGAAAGAGCATATCAACTCATAGATGCAAAGGGTTTCGCAGCAACAATATTCAAGAAATTAACACACAAGTTATAATACAATGACTCAAGAATAATGAGTAATATTATCATCAAGGGGAGTAAAAGTTATGCTGCACTTCTTTTTCCCCTTAATCAAGGTTTTGCCATATTGCGTTTTTTTTGGTAAGGTTTTTAATGAGGCAGCTTCAATAAATATGACGATATTGTATACTCTTTTTTATTCACTAAGTTTTTGTCCTATTGAGTTTTTCTTAGTAAAGTTTTAACGAGACACAATATTTGAATATCCAAGGGGAGCGTTATAAATATTAGGATATTATGTGGATGTCCATTATCTTAAATTTTCTAATATCTTTCGATTACTATAATATCTTTCAGTTATTATTATTTTGTATATTTTATTTATTTTAATTGATATATTTGTGCCTATAAATAGAAGGTACATCAGTTATATTCTACACATTGAAATAAGAAAACTCTCTATTATCTTATTCTCTTAATATAGTTTTTTCTCTTCTCTCTTTTCTCAATCTCTATTTTTATAACATTTTACAAATTACAGGATCATTATTATCCATACAAAATTAACAATTTTTCTTTCATCTCATTTTTTCTCGCTCAACCAAATATAAGGGAAGAAAATTGCATCCCTTCACTTTTTTTTCTCCTTACATTTTCTCTTCTCCTGTTTTTTATCGCAAGCCAAGCATAGCATTAATATAAGGAAAAAGTTAAAAAAAATAGATGGGATCAAATCAACAACCTCTCACAAGCCGGAGGAACTTGGCGCCATTAGCCTAAGTTGTTGGCTCCAAATGTAATTCTCATAAAGTTGAAGAAGGATGACGCGCTTCATTTGTTCCGAAAAATAAAAATAAAATATGATAAAGCATCATAAAATAAAGAGAAAAACGATAAGTCCCAAAAAAAAAAAACAATTACTCAATAATTTTTTTAAACAAATTTAAAATATTAATTTAAATAATTATAAATTTAATTTTAAATAAAACATTTAAATTTTAAATATAATTCAGACTTTCTGATTGAATTTTTTATTTACAATTGTCTGACGTACTGCGTACAACTTATTTTTTTAAACAAATTATCAGAACTTAATTATTATTAATTTTTTTCTAAAATAAAAGTAAGCTGTGTGCTCTTTCTTTTTTTAATCGTATTGTAGGAGACAAGGCCGCGTACGCGTAGCATGATATGATCTGCTGTTAGAACTTAGAAGCATACGACGACGCTTTTGTGGTACCGTGGCAAGTGGTAAGGGGGCTAAAGCTAATCCTTTTCTAATTAATCAAGCTGCCTCAGAGCGGAGTTGAGACGATCCCTTTGTGATCTCCGTCTCGGCCAAATGAGCAGCTACCAGAGACTCCCTCAAGAAGCCTACCCTCCTCCAGGTATGATTCGTGAAAACTCTCTACTGTTTATTATTAATCGACAATTTAAAAAATCTTATTTTCCTGCTTTCGATTCTGCATTTCTTGCGTCAAATTTCGATTCCCATTTTGATCGTCCACCAACGATATGCGCGAATTTTATACAGGGTACGGATCTTACGCTCCGCCACCTGGCTACCCATCGGCGCCACTGCAACCACACGAAGGGTACCCTCCACCGCCGCCACCTGGGTATCCAGGATTCCCTCCTCCGCCACCGGCGCCGCAGCAATGTCCGCCATATCAAGGTTATCAGGGTTATTTCAATAACGGGTATCCACCACCACCTCCTCCTCCCCCAACTTACCAACACCATCACTGCGAACATCATTATTACGATGGTTCCACCGGTTGCGCCTCATTCTTGCAAGGCTGGTATGCTTTTTATTTTGTTTTCTTTTATGGCATTTTTAAGTTATGTATAGTCAAATATGTGTATTGCTTTTGAACAGGGTGATGTTTTTCTAAACCTTTTATTTCAGAGATGCTTTTCATAAAGTCACCCTCCTGCCTCTATATGAAAACTTTACGAGAAAGACACGATATTTATTAATGATATCATGGGAATAACTAATATCGTAATGCCATTTTCTATGCATTAAAAGTAGATTCGCTTTTCCTCAAACATACCAAAGGTCTTTATAAGATAATTGCACTTCAATCAGGGCCGTAGAACATAATGGTGGGTAATATAGAGGTAATTAGGAGTGGAGGAATTTTGTGTAGATTCGATGGCAGAGATTCTTGCCTCTGTCATCATGTATGCTAGAACTTGAACATTTTTTAACTGCCTGTTTGACTCTTCCTTTTTTGTTGAATGTCAATTTTGTGAGCAAATTATATCTCATCAATGCGTTATTCTATATTTCTACTATTATATCCGAAAATTTAGCAATGCCTTTATTTGTTTTTCCAAACAACTTCGGTTACCTTAGAATTTCAGTTTAAGTTTATTAATGATTTTATAAACATCTACAAAGGGAACTCAACATCTACTAGGGAAGTCATTGCTGAACCATAAATTAAACACATTTGGGCCGTTGGGCGGTTAAAATTTCAAGTTGAGAAGGGGAAAATATGGCACCAATGGAAGTACATAAATGTAAGAATGCTGGCATTAAGAAATGTAAAAGCATTTATCCATCAAATTGCATACAAAGCAGCAAAGTCAAAGGGCTTTGGCCTCATTCAAAAAGTTTGACGTTGGCCTTCGGCTTAGACTGCACAATCCAATACTTGCTGATGACCTAAGCATGCTCCCCCACCCAAAAAAAAAAAAAATTTACATTGCCTGGAGACATTAATAACAGAATTCGTCTAGTGCACGACTCTGATGTGTACCTCAATCCCTACGCAATGTCACATAACGGCATGCTTTGAGGGTACAATATTATAACATTGAAATTGCCTTGTCCAAATGTCAAATATAGATTGATAGATGCATATACATTAAAGCTGCACTATAAATACTTGTCAGTTTACTTGCAGTTTTGTGCATTTCACTGATGTGCTTAACACTTCCATATTTTTGTCTCGTGTTAAATTTGCTGATCCTGAATTGGTTCTTTGTCTGCCGGGTAGCTGTGATTGGAAATCAGTTTGGCAACTTTTCATCCCTAGTTTATAGAGAATTATTTCCTGTTAATAAATTGTCCATAATGAACTGAATAACCTCTTACCTTTTAAGAAAATATCGTTCAACATAACTATAGATTTATTTTATTTGAGCTTGTGATGTCCACTAATTTGACAAGGGATATAAAATCATTTTCAGGCCCCCTCCCTATTGGTTTGGTAATTAAGGCATACTCTTCTATTGACTGTGGTAACTAATGCGCATAGTTCCTTTTTTGCATGTGCAGCTTGGCAGCTCTCTGTTGTTGCTGTGTGCTTGAGGAGTGTTGCTTTTTCTGATGATCAGTTATAGCTCTCTGGAGAAATGTTGCTCGATGGTCTGATTGATATGTGTGGGATCTGATGAGTCTTTGGTCATTCATGTAATTCTTCTTGGTCTTTCAACCCCCTCCCCTTTTCATCCAACTCTTGTGTGCATAGGTTCGTGTTCTGGTTTATGGAAGTCTCACTGAATGCACAGTGATATTTGGAAATTTAAACTGTCTAAAATTCACAGGATAACAGCTAGAGGTGTGGTTATAGATTGTTCTTATCTTTATCAACCAATCTCTTTCCATCGTACTAGACTTGACAGTTTTAAGGTAATTTAAAGGGAAAATATTATTTTTGATCCCTGTACTTTTCTCAAATTTTGGTATAATTCTTTAAACTTTTTTTTTTTTAATATTCCAAGTTCTTACATTTTCCTTCGTTTGCAACATTGGTCCCTATATTTTTATAGGAAAGTTGACATGGTACAAACAGTGTTAATAATATACTGACATATTAATTAACATTGTTAATTTTGTGCATGTAATTATTGGAATAATTGTTGAAGACTCAAATGGTGGATATGCAAGCGTGATAACTTAGATGTTGTTCTATATTTTCATGAATCTGCACTTCTTGCCTAGTGTAGCTTGTTACATGGATTGTGAGTGGGATTTTTTCAAAACTCCATGGACATGTAGAAGAGAAATGCTATTCCCATTTACTAGTTATATCATCAACAATTTCCTGAATCTCAAGGTATTTTTCAAACCAATCATAGATTTTATTAAGATAGGTAAACCAAGGGGACTCCCCCTCAGAGAACCATATATGAGAATTTTAATGAGATATTCCTTATATTCTAAAAAAAGAATCTTTTATTTCTTTCTTAAGAAAATGGGGTGTTCCTAGCCCTCCTCTTTTTGGACAATACATACAAAGAGACCTGTAAACAGAAGTTTTGAAAAACTAGCTAGTTGTGGGTTTTCAAATGAAGGTCTTTTTTTCCTTTTCGACTGAAACCTTGTGTGTCAAATTTATGTTAACATGGAATTTTTAATAAGGAAAAATTAAAAAAACTACATGAAATTTGTGTTTTTTGTTTATCATTTAAAAAATTCAGGTCAGATTTTTTGTTTTATCTGTGTAGCCTTATTTTTTTTCATTTTTAGTTATTAAAAAATTTCATGTCAACATTAATTGGGCACGTTATTACCAAATTAAGAATATTAATTGACATGTTAGTATTATTAACACTTTTTGTGCCACATTAGTATCCTTTGAAAATGTAGTGACTTAGAATATTGAAAATAAAATGTAGGAACTTATTAAAATTCAAACAAAGTGTAAGTACAAAAAGTGTTTTTTCTAATTTAATCCTCTGTTTGGATGGGAAGAAAAGTTGAAAGGAAAGAAAATGAGAGGAAAGAAAATGGAGAAGAGAAAACTGGAAAGAAAATATTATCACTCCTTCTGTTTGAATGGACAGGAGAAAATAGGGAGGAAAGAAAATGAATAGATATAATAATAACTATAATACCCTTATATCAAAATATATCATATTTCATGAAATTATATTTGTGAAAATATATCAAATTATTTGTTAAAAATATATTTTTTATATTATATTTTAAAATTAAATAATTAAAATTAAATTAATGTAATTCTAGACACTTGATCTAATCAATGGCTAAATTATTTAATTAAATAGTTAAATTAATGTAATTCATAACTATAAAAGTTAAAAATTATAAACTAAACTGTTTAATTAAAATTAAATTAATGTAATTAAGTAGTCTCTTGAGAGTCAGAGAGCGAAATAAATAAGAAAAGAGGGTAGACAGTGGAACAAAATTTTACTCCCAAAATCTCTCCACTTTTGGAGAGAAAAGTTAGAAGGAAAAAACAATGAATCTCACACCCTATTTTCCTCCCACTTTTTCTTTCCTCTCATTTTTTCTTCCCTATCTAAATAAGGAAAAATCTGTTTTTTCTCCATGTTTTCTTTCCTACCATATTTTCTTTCCAACAAAACAGAGCATGAAAGTCACTTTACGGGAGGACCATAAAGAAGGTCGGGAAAGTTAGATTGAACTATACATAACATGGATGGTGTAGCTGTTTCATTCAATTTTTATCGAATGTCCCAGGAGAGACAGGTTGACAGTGTTCGAAGGCCTCATCTTTCATTTGAAGCTCAGCTGGTTGCCCGGAAGTCCCATGAATTGGGACCGATAAGCTGCCCAAACATACCAAACCTGCCCCAATCCCTTATGGCATAGCTTATGGTAAACAAAAGCATGAGGCAGAATTAAAATATCCTCAAAGAATATGCAGGCTTAACATATTTCCTCCTAGTAAAACTGAGGTCCGTCTTCCACATGATTTTTCCTCTCTAGGAGTCTGCAAATTATATCTGTTGTAAGATGTTAGAGTAAAAATAAATTCTCTATCAATATATTTATTCATGGTAATCGGTATTTATATACACCTAATTGAGGCAACAAGCCTGCCTCCTAACTCGAGGTAGAAATCTAGGTTAAATCTAATTAAATCCATTAAAAGATAAAATAAAATAAAAACTAACTTAATAAAGATAATTAATAGGTAAAACACTAATAAAATGGAATAACCAGTAAACAAAACCTTTAGAGACTTGAGAACAGCACCGACTCTGCTCTTTGGATGGCGTAGCTGTTATTTCAAGAATCTATAGGTTTATAGGTGACTCATCTGTTAGAGTTCTATGCATCTTGTTGGTGACCATGGGGAGTCGACTTCAGACTGTTATGAATGAAATGAAAAAAAATATGAAAAGGTTTACTTCACCATCTATTAACTTACCAAAAAAAAAAAATCAATTATCGCTATTTGCCTTCTGACAAGATGGGGACGAGTATTTTCGAATTCTGCTGGTGACAATCTATGCTAATGTGTATGAATAATTTTTTATATCAAAAATCGTGAAACTATTTTAATATGCTTGATATAATGTTTTAAATTATTAGTTTTTTCATGGATGTTGTTGCAAAATTACATTTTAACTTGGGATAAAAAATTGAGCAAATTCATTTTATTCTTTCATATTAATAAGGGAATGGGAAAGATTTATATAGTTAATCTTATATATTTAATATACTTTTATTCAATCAAATGAAAACAAGTAAATTTTAATATATTAATAATAAATAAAATAAATAATTTTTAAATGATATACATGTATTCATTTAATTAAAAACAAGTACCTTAAATACATAAAACTAAGTATAAACTTGATATACTTTTACTTAATCACATCAAAATAAACAAATTTTGATGTATTAATAATAACAAGAAGGAATTTGATACTTGGTTTCATGTGCTTAATATAGTTTTATTTAATCAAACTAAAATAAGTGAATCGTGATATATTAATAATATTAATATCAAGAATTTATTATAAAATAATATGAGAAAATATATAATTTACAAAAATTCACACCACAAAAGGTGACATATCTAAGATTGAAACCCGCAGAGACAATAAAGTTCGTTCGCAACCAGTCCGCAAGGGCAGGCGTGCTGTATGGCGTTGAGAATTTAACACGCATACATCCATCCATGCGAGCGCGCGCGGCGCGCAGTGTTTATTCCGCCAGTTGCCCGGTAATTGTCCATAAAATCTCATAACTCCATCCATTCAGATTTTCTGAAATTTCTATTTTCCTTGCTAGTTCATGCTTTAGGATCACTGCTAACTTCAACAACGACTACTCTTGATCAATGCATATAAATTGATTCTTCACTCAATACATTACGGTCCTGCATTAGCACCTAGGAGCACTATATAACCTTTTGGCGAATGGTACACCTGCAGGTCTTCTGACCTCCAACTTCGGAATTTTTGATTTAGAGGGAAAGTCAAGGTACCCGACTATGTTATCTACGCTTGAAATAGGGGAGGGAATGTCATAAGCTAATAATAACAAAACCACTACACCAGGCTACTATTGCCTTGATTAGTCTGCAAAAATAAAGTACAAACTGCCCAATAACCAGAAATTAAGTAGCCTAACAGGCACCTACAGAGTCCAGACGAAATCTGGAGCATCCTTCCTCTTGCCAACCAATGAACGATACAAGTACATCCTATCTACTTTCTGCCCGTCATCCAGATTGAACTCTTGCTCATTTTCGCTCATGATCTCCACATTCAATCTCGGCATCTTCTTAGCTAATATCTTGCAGGCTCCCAGGGTCACTTCACAGGACGACATCCAAAGGGATCGCATTGTCTCATACTTCCCTATGTCCTTTAGAAGTGCCATATTGCCAAAAGGGCTATCTCTTATCTCAAGCTTGCGAATTTTCTTGCATCCATTCAGCACATAAAGCATTCCCTTGTCACTTTCTCCAGCAAAAGCAACAGATAGCATTTCAAGTTGCTCAGCATGCATTCCAATATACAAGAAAACACGATCAGTCAGTAGACCCGACATTGACAAACGCCTGAGACGCCTGCAAGACTGAACAATTGCTCCAAAACCTTCATCCAGTGGCTGCATTGTATCAGCATCTGGTTTCGTAGGATCAAGGATACACAGCCGAAAGCGGATGAAATTTGGGCAGTTTTTTGCCACCGTTATGAGGGCAGCATTTGTCATCTGCTGGCAGAAATAAAGCAATGAGTGAAGCTTAGGACAGCCAGCGGATATTGCTACCAACCCATGTTCTGTCACGGCTGAGGGCCCAGCTTCAAAAGGAAGAGACGGAAAAACCCTCAACTCCTGCAAATCTTTACATGTGGAAGCTACAACACTGAGCCCTTTGTCCCCAATAGAATCCAATATCTGCATGATTATAGATATTATTGGCATCCCCACTATACAAGGGAAAAAAAATGAAAGGAAATTGCTCTTTACTAAATATATTTACCCATAAGCGCTGAAGTTTCACACAGTGGTGTATTAGCTTTATTAGATCACTGCCATGAAGCCCTACTGCATAGCTCAGGTTTAAGGATGTTAAGTTCTCGCAAATAGGATATACAGCAGGCAAGCATTGAGGAGCAGCCTCCAAAAACCCTGACAAGCTGGTTATTGATCTGCACTTCAAAATTGTATGCTTTAGCTTGGAGTAGACCTCGGAATCCAGATCATCAACAAAGGACCCAGTACCCAAATCTGTCAGCCAAGGTGCTCTCATTAATATCCTTTGGAGGGCATCAAGGGGCACAGCACGGTTTAACTTTAAGCTCTTAAGGTTAGGAGATCTTGCAACAAGCCTCTCTAAAGCTCCCAGATTAATATCTCCTTTAAGGCAAGCAATATTGAGAGAGACGAGTGATGTGCAACTATCAGGAAAGCAATTCAACCATTGGCCCCTGTGATCATCGATTTCA